AATATTGAAATAAACAATTAGCAAAGAGACGTTGGACACACGTGCTCAAGGAATCAAACGTTCGTCTTCCGTTCTTCATTTCTCTGTTTTTGTGTGTTTCGCTGTGAGGTTTTGTTTCGTTAGTTGCTTTTTGTGTTTGTTATGTTTTTCATGGTGGGGGTTGAGTATAATTCTCTCTTTTTTTTTCTTATGCTTTCTTTTAACACTGACTATAGTGATATTAGGATAATTCTTTACCTTCTGTCATGTAGGGTCATAAGCAATGGTTGACTGAAGTTCAGTTTGTTGGTGTTGTGGAGCATCCAAATCTTGTGGAGCTTATTGGATACTGTGATTTGCATGGTGAAAGAGGGATCCATGAGACTACGGTTGTGTTTGAAAGTGTTTTAATTTTTATGAATTTTAAAAATTAATTTTGAGAGTAAAAAAACAAAAAAATTTGTTTGAGTGCAGTTAAATTAAAGTTATAAAGAAGTTGTAATTATTTACAAAAATGCCATTAATAAACTTTTAGAATTACAAAAATGCCATCATAAAGTAATTGTTTTGGTCTTAATTTTACGAAATTGCCATTAATGAATTCTGATATTTACTATTTTGCCACCGTCTAAATGCAAAAAACAGAAAACAGCACTGGAGAACATCATAAGGATGTTTTGGTTTTCTGGTTTTTAAAACTTAAAAAGAGTCATTGTTTTGGGAAGCATTTTTCAGAACACCCATTGCCAAACAAGTTTTTTTATTTTTTGTTTTTAAAAACAAAAAACTGTTTTACAAAATATGATGGGCCCCACAATTATTAAAAAGAGAAAAAAAAATTACTCACAAATCGAAGAATCACAAAATGAGAGAATACGTGAGATGAGAAAATGTTTTTACATATACGATAAGAATAAGATAGGAAAGGATAAATAACAAAGAGTAGACGCATGAATGAAATGTTAGAATGATTCCATTGAAGACCAACGAGTTAAGGTTGGAACTTGGATGCCAGTAACTAAGCTTGAGTAGATGCTTGCGTTTTCAAAGGCCTTTTACACTGCAATATTGGACACAAAAAAGCTGAAACCAGTTCGAAGGTAAGGAGTAAGGACTAAGCTTATAGACCCTGTGAAAGGTCTCCTGCTACGACCGGAAGTCCCGAATATAATAATTTACCATTGACGTGACACCAGACTTACAACAGTACATACGCGGAACAAGTACTCCAATTGTTCCTTACATGACTGTGATGTTACTTTTTCAAATATAATATAGCATGAGAGTCCTCTAACCGGGTAATTTTAGACATATAAATTCATATATCTTCACGAAACGGGCTAAAGTGCTTTCGATTCAAATATAATACAAGTTTTGTAAATATCGGGTTTCCGATCATGCTAATTTGAGTTCTTAATCTTATACCATGGTGAATGACAATACTTATAATGAGTTATTCTAGATCATGACACAAGATTATGGCCAAATCCACTTGATAACAGCAGTGTATGCTGGAGAAAGAAAATAACCAAAGTAGAAAAGAAGACAGCATGCTGGATCATTGAAAAGCTATTGGCACATGAGGGAGTGGCTGAATTAACAGCCACATGTGGTGTTTGTCATGTCGAGTCAATCAAAATTAATAGGCTCCTGAAAAGTCATGTGTTCATACAAGTAGGCTGCATTATTTTCCCTGACACAAAGTCGGTATGAGTACGAGAAAAGGAGGGAAGCGTGCATTGGTCAATCAAACTTTTGTTATCATAGCTGAGGCAAGATGCTGTACCGTGGTTTGGGGGCATGGCAAGGTAACGAACGAGATCATCTCATGTATATATGGAGTAGATATATCTCTTCTTTAACAACTGATATTTGGATAAAAAAATATTTTTTTTTCCTTTCCATATAAGTATAACAGTTCACTTTTTATTAGATAAAAATACTGAATGAATGTTACAGAACTATTGATATTTCCATAATAAACACTTCAAACAAAGCTGTAACTAGCTGATATATATAATTGGAGAATGGATATTTTATGTGTTAATTAATATCATCATATTAGGTGAAAGGATTTTAATCATTAATAATTAAATTAATACTGATGAAAAATAAGAGATAAAAAATATTAAAATAATAAGTGACAAAATTATAACGTTAATTTATCCATAAATAATTAAGATCATCTCACGTAATATAATCATATTAATTAATACATGAAAATATCTACTCCCAAATAATTTACTTTACCATTGGTAGTTCAAAAGTTCTGAGTTGTGACTATTAAGCGTCTGTTTGGTGTAACGTATAAGGCATGATAGTATAAACTTATATTATACGTTATGACATTTTCAGTTGTTTGGTGTGACCATCGTATAATATAAGTTTATATCGCATAATTTCTTAATACATCAAAAAAATGATGTATAACTTAATCCGGTCTAAGGGTGAGGGATAAGACTTGATAAATGATTGATGTATTAACATCGTTAACCAATGTAATTCTCAAAAATTAATATATTATTTTAATATTAATCTATTAAAATAAAAATTAATTTTTCAATATATTAATTTTTAAAATATTGAATATTTTTATTTTAATAAAAATTAATTTATATTTTAGACACACTGGTCAATAATTTTTTATAAAACTAATATCATATACGAGACGAGTCAAGCATTAAGATTTTATACCCCTTCCCAATACGGGTGTTAACGGACTGAGCTGAGCCGAACTTTGGTATTAAAAAGTTAAGTTTGTGTTTAAATGTGTCAGCCTGATCAAGCCTGTTACCTGTTATGAATATAATTATCGGTCCGTGACCTAACTTATTTATAAAAAAATAAAAACTTGATTTAACCTGTTTAAAAAAATGAAGACAACAAAAATTTATCCAAACAGAATATACAATCAACATCACTAGTAATTCCATAAAAATTTATAAATTCAATCTGTATCCAAACAGCATAATATAGAGCAAAATCATTCAAAAAATCTGTTTAACCTATAAAATGGGATGAAATGGATTGAGGAGAGAGAGGACTATTACAAGTAATATAAAAATATAAAATAAAAATAAAAATAAAAATTAATATAATAAGTCAATATGAGAAGTTCTAATGCCTAACTTTTGAATTAGAGTGTGAAGCCTTTTTATTAAACAAAATTTTATACAAGTTCAAGCCTGGTTCCAACAACAAATTTTACGCATGTAAGTCCAGACCTTCACGAGTCGAGTCAAAACCCTGATTTATTTATCACCTCTACTTTCCAAGATAACATTGATAGGAATCGAATTGAGATCCTTCCTCACTCTCTCAACTAAGCTGCCATAATTGAGTTTTTGTAATCAAAGTGATTGTGATAATCATTACTCCGATAAGTCCTCCATCTTAAGGAGATGCATTACTCATATAGGATCATATACACATACAATGTAGCAGCTGCGCTTTGTGGATGTGGAGGAATGAAAAGAATTCGGTTATCTCATTCGCTCACAATACTTATGAAATGAGAAGCTTAACTTTTCTTAGATAGAATAGTCAAGACAAATTTTATCCTATTGCACGTGGGGTATACTGGAATTAAAAGCATATTCTGGTATCAGTCTCAGAATTAATTGAGCAAGTTGCTTATATTGGGTTAAGCAGGCTTTGCTGACAAAAAATGCCGTTTTGTCAGCAAGCTGATGGCCAAGTTAAACTGAAAACCCCGTTTCATGAAATTTTTTTTCTTATGATGCATTGAATTTTCAATACATCTTTTATTTATAATATATGACATGTGTCTTATTTTTATCAAATTATTAATGAATAAATTATTTTAAAATTAGGTAAAAGAGTTATTTAATAAAAAGTAAGACATATCCTATTAGGAGTGAAAAGTACATCGAAAATTCAATGAATATGTAACACTGAATAAATTCTCCATCTCATGGTATAGTACGTAGTAGGTCTTGCAAAATGCAACTAGTATTCACTGTTGGTTCAGTAATTGGTGGTGCATATATAATTGATTTAAATAGGTTTAGGATAATTAACATCATACACTAATTGAAATATTAAATACATGTATGTGATTCAAAATGAAGCCGTGCTTGTAAATAACAAATAATTTATTGTACACGTTTTTATGACCATAATTAATTTCCCCACAATTGCGAAAATAACATTATTCTAATAGGTCGTTAAAATTGGACCCCTCCAGGCCTCCACTCTTTCCCAATGGTCGCTAAATCTCGTTTTCTGTCTCCCTAAACCCACGTACAATTTTGGAAGTACACCAACTCCAAGTAATGTCACTCATTAACTCCCCTTCCACAAAGAGTAATATACGTGGTGCAAGCTTACATTCACAAAAATATTTTTCACGTAAGATTGAATATTAATGTGGTCCTATTGTAATGTTTTTTCAATGATATATGGAAAAATAGTTTGTTATTTTTAAAAGACTTTATATTCTCATTAACTCCAAGTAATAAATATACTTTAGTTATGTTCTTTTATACTCTTATAACTAGTTATAATATTAATGTTATAATTTTTTTTCTTCAGAAACTATCGATTGACGTGGAAAATGAAAAAAATATAATTTTAATATTATTACTATATATTTTTTGAAATACATAATTATAAGTAGATGAAAAAGATATAAAGGATAAAATATTTTATAAGGAAAAATGTTTATTCTTTTAAATGACATAACTTATACCATTTCACGTTCACAAAGACGTGAGATCCACACCTTTATTTTTTTTGTCAACTCTCTCATCCTTTATCTATTTCTTTCTCTTTCTTAAAAAAAATGACACAACTTTACATCCTTTACAATAACACAACTTTATATCCTTTAAAACACAGTTTACCCTTATTTATATCATAAAAATGCTTCATAATATACAAATCCACACCATATGTTCTATTTAAGCCCAAAGCTACTCTTCCCCCCTACTTTATCTCTTTGAAATATTCCCCATTGATTGGAATCTGAAAACACCCATAAGCACAAAATGAACATGATCATGGTAGCTTCGTCCATAGCACCAAACTCCAGTATGAAGTGTGCTACATATTTAAAAGTTCCACAGCCACAAACACCACTTCACTGGAATCCGTTACAAAGAGCCGCAGCAATGGTCATAGACACGGTGGAAAGCGCATTGATCTCCCGCGAGTTCCAACACCCACTCCCCAAAAGCGCCGACCCACTTGTCCAACTCGCCGGAAACTTCGCTCCGGTGCCGGAACAACCTGTCCTCCACTCACTCCCTATCACCGGAACCATCCCCCATTGCATTAACGGCGTCTACCTACGAAACGGCCCCAACCCATTTTTCAAACCCATCGCCGGGCACCACTTCTTCGACGGAGACGGCATGGTTCACGCCGTGACCATAAAAAACGGCGCCGCCAGCTACGCTTGCCGATTCACCGAAACTGAAAGACTAGTCCAAGAACGCAAACTTGGCCGTCCGGTGTTTCCCAAAACCATCGGCGAGGTCCACGGCCACGCCGGAATCATTCGTCTCGTCGTCTTCTTCCTCCGGCGACTCTTCAGCCTCATTGATCACCGGCGAGGAACGGGAACCGCCAACACCGGCTTAACCTTCTTCAACGGTAAGCTCCTCGCGATGTCGGAAGAGGACCTCCCTTACGAGCTCCATATTACTCCCTCCGGCGACCTCAGAACCGTTGGCCGGTACACCTTCGACGACCAGCTCAAATCCTCCATGATCGCTCACCCGAAAATTGATCCAGAATCCGGCGAGCTCTTTGCTCTTTCCTGCACCGTTCCGACACCAAACCTCACGTACTTCCGGTTCTCGCCGGAGGGGAAGAAGTCACCGGAAATCGACATCTCATTGACGGCTCCGACGATGGTGCATGACTTCGCGATAACTCAGAACTTCGTGGTAGTTCCCGACCATCAGGTCGTGTTCAAGTTGCAAGAAATGATCAAAGATGGGTCGCCGGTGATCTTCGACGAAACGAAGAAATCAAGGTTCGGTGTTCTTCCAAAGTATGCTAAAGAAGCTTCGGATATGATGTGGATTGAATCGCCTGACACTTTCTGCTTCCACCTTTGGAATGCTTGGGAAGAATCAGAAACCAATGAGGTGGTAGTTATAGGGTCGTGCATGAACTCACTTGGTTCCATCTTCAATGAGAGTGAGAGCTTCAAGAGTGTGCTATCGGAGATAAGGCTAAACTTGAAGACACGTGAGTCCACGCGCCGTCCTATAGTGTGGGAAGAGGATGTGAACTTGGAAACGGGGATGGTGAACCAGAACCTGCTCGGGAGGAAAACACGGTACGCTTATCTTGCCACTGTTGAACCGTGGCCAAAGGCTTCGGGTTTGGCGAAAGTGGATTTGGTAACGGGTGAGGTGAAGAGGCATAACTATGGAGAGAGAAGGTTTGGTGGTGAACCTTATTTCTTGGTAAGAGGGAATGAGGATGAAGATGATGGGTACGTTGTGGTGTTGGTGCATGACGAGGGTACGTGTGAGTCTGAGATGCAGATTTTGAATGCAATGGATTTGGAGGTGGAAGCAACAGTGAAGTTGCCATCAAGGGTGCCGTACGGTCTTCATGGTACATTTGTGAATGCTAAGGATTTGCCTAAATAGTCAGAGGAAGAAATTTATGTTCATATGCTGTCTCTTATTTTGATGTGCATTCCAATGTTTTGGAGGGGGAAACATGCGTGTAAGTTGTAACGTAGTGTTCATGTCCCACCTTATGCTAATCCGCGCGGCGTATATTGATTTCATTCATGCAATATGGCAAGCATATTTCGGCTTAGGTTATAGCGTTATAGTATAAGATGCACATTAGTTTATATAATAATGCCTATTTAGTTCCAAAAAAAAAAATCACATAAAACATAACCATTCATCACATTAGTAAAAATAAATAGTAAACACAAACATTGTTATATAGGAATAAATATTGTCCTGTTACAAGATAATAATATTCTCTTCTTCCTGAAGACACATTCTAGGGGTGTTTGACCGGTTTGAGACTTTTTTGCTTTAAATTTACGAATTTGGTACGTGGAGGAGAATAATTACGATTTGGGGTCTTTAAGTGCCGCGGAGAGGACCCAGCGTATCTAAATGACGCCCCCCCGGTCCCCGCGACACTCATGTAACTTGATTTTTCTTTTCTCTGCTAATTCAGTGCCGCCCCCCACCCCCATCGGCACTAATTCTCAATTTTTTTTTATTGAAAGTTCCGCCTAGCCCCCCCTCGGCACACGTTAACAGTAACTTGAGAATGTTCTTCATGGTCTTCGTTGTGGGGCTTCTGTTGGGTGCTGAGGCCACTCCCCAATTTAAAAAACTCAAGGCCACGATTCAACCAGCATCACCTACAAGAGAAGCAACAATGGTAATAGCCTGCTCATGCGTCAAGGAATCAGCATCAATTCCAAGATGGAGCCTTGGAGGTGAAACTCTCATGTGAGCATGCTGATAGTAAGAATCACACACTAATGAGCAATGGACGCTGGAGCTGGGTTTTTGGTGGCTTATTCTGGGGCATTTTTTTGCTCCCCTCTGCTCTTCTCTCTTATTCTGGGGTATTTATTTGCTCCTCTTCTGCCCTTCTCTTTTGTTTCTCTGCTTGTCCTCATTGTTATTAAACCACAAGGGTTCCTTTTCTGCTTAAAACAACGAATCTCTTTTGAAATTAAACTGTCGATTTATGGAACTGAAAACAATGGTGTTGTCGAGAAGAAATACGAAGATGAAAATTAGTTTAGCTTCAGTACATTCTTCAATCCTTCATGTTTCTAATAATATGCTCTGACTCAACAAGCATGTTAGAAAAATGACTACAAATTTACAATTTAATTTGCAGATGTTCTCATCTACAAATTCGGATATGAAATGGTTATCACTTGATACAAATGTGAGGCTGTAAAAGTCAGTTTTGTTCCTTGTACAACTAACAAGATTCTAATGTACCTCAGGGAAAAAACTAAAGGAGCTACAAATGGATAAAAGGGAGATAGAAGAATTTCACAGATCTGGAAACAATGAAAGCGAGAGAACAGTAAACTATATGAATGCCGTTGGGGCAGAACTTTTAATCAAAAAATGAAAATTAATGCCGATAGGGGCTATGTGCGGCACTTATTCAAGTAAAAATATTATTTATTGAATGCCAATGGGGGTGGGGGCGGCACTGAGTTAGCAGAGGAAAAAAAAACAAGTTATATGAGTGCCGCGGGGACCCGGGGGCGTCATTTAGATACGCTCACTTGATACAAATGTGAGGCTGTAAAAGTCAGTTTTGTTCCTTGTACAACTAACAAGATTCTAATGTACCTCAGGGAAAAAACTAAAGGAGCTACAAATGGATAAAAGGGAGATAGAAGAATTTCACAGATCTGGAAACAATGAAAGCGAGAGAACAGTAAACTATATGAATGCCGTTGGGGCAGAACTTTTAATCAAAAAATGAAAATTAATGCCGATAGGGGCTATGTGCGGCACTTATTCAAGTAAAAATATTATTTATTGAATGCCAATGGGGGTGGGGGCGGCACTGAGTTAGCAGAGGAAAAAAAAACAAGTTATATGAGTGCCGCGGGGACCCGGGGGCGTCATTTAGATACGCTGGATCCCCTTCGCGGCACTTAAAGACCCCAAATCGTAATTACTCCGGTGCACGTACCAAATTCGTAAATTTAAAGCAAAAAAGTCTCAAACTGATCAAACACCCCACATTCCAGCTGTGGATCCCATAATAAAATTTTCTCTCATCTCATTCTTTTTTTTTTTTGATACATTTATCCTCTTTTCTCTCTGTTAAACTCTTCTTTCCGTTGGAAGGGGTTACTATTCTCGGATAATTGGAGAATAGTATTACCGTTGTCATATATGCATAATGCATTCATTCTTTCAGGTATACAAATTTGATTGTACTTACGTCTGACAACTTTTGAACTCATAGTGTTGTAGATTAATTTTTTTCAATATACGTATGAACACTAACCGTGCGTTTGGATGAACTTTTATTTTTAAAAAATTTGTTTTTTTTTTATAAATAAAAGTCATTCTGAGAATCTTTAGATATTTGGATAACAACTTTTTAAAAAAGCAAAATTTAAAATAAAAGTTAAAATGCTACTTCTTTTTATAACCAATAGTTGATTGTTTTTGAAAAAAGCAGAAATTAAAAGATAATATAAATTTTTAAAATACAATTTTAACCTTATCCTATCATATCTATTTTATCTCTCCTTATCCCACGATCTGCTATTTTATCTCTCCTTTATTGTAATTTTATATATAAAAAATGTTTTTATTTTATTTTAATATCCAAACAACTTTTTTATGTAAAAGTGCTTTTCAGATCATACATCCAAACGTAAAATAGCTTTATCTTTTAAAAAAAGTTATTTTAAAAAAAACAATGCATAAAAAGTCATTTTTTTAAAAGCTCATCCAAACGGACCCTTAGTCTTCGGCTGTCAATTGGAGAACATCTTGAAAAACCAAAAAAATACTCAACAATATTATTATTGGGAAATATTAGTCTCATGTTACATGGGAGTAATTCTCTCATGTTACGGAGGGAATCCAAGTGGAGCCCACCATTAAAAAGCAAAAAAAGAAAAGAAAAAAGAGGAGGTGCAATTTTCGAAGTGAGAGAAAATGAGATAACTATCCCAAGTAAAATAAGAGTAGTATTTCTCATTATTATTCCATGGAGGAAATATTAAAGTGTTCAAAACATTATTATTTCATTAATGCTTTTATAACTTACTCAGTAAAAATACCGATAAATAATAATAAAATTGAAAAAATAATTAATACTTCCATGATTTTTTAAATCTACATATGAATTAAAACAAAATAATTTTTCTAAAGTGATATATAATTTAAAACGGAGGCATGCCTATAATGGAAGATAAACAAAACAATATATAATTGGAAAATTATACTCTTATGTCACATAAGACTCCTCTCTCATTTTACACTCACATAAAAAGACGTGCCTCTCTTTTCTTTTTTTTTTAAAAATTGGTGGACTCCACTTAATTTATCTCACAACATGAAATAACTTCAAACCCTATATAATTACCCAATAATAACTTATTGACAAATAACTCAGGAGTAGTGGAACTACATGTTTTCCATATCACTAACAAACTTCTGACAAGTGAATTCACAACCATGAAACAAACTGGTTTATTCATACAAGTGAATACAAAATAGGCATCTGCCATCTTCAATACCGAGTGCAAGTACTGGAGAGTTCCAGTGCTTACCAAGATCATAGCCATTATATTACTGATTCATATGAACTAATTGGGACTACCTCAGATTGGGTTGACAATTGTAATTTATAAAAAATTGCAAAGGATATCTAAAATTAAATAGAAAAGTTTAGGTTATGGGGATTTAGAAGTGAAAGAAAAGGAGGAAATGAGAAAATTGCAAACAAGGTTCTAGCTATAGCTTTACCAGAACCATATCCTTATTGGAAGTAATATTTTTGATAAATTACTGGCAGAGTTGCTCAACTGCTGTGACAATCTGAGCAGGTTGAACCACAGTCCATTCCTCCAATGTCCCTGTATATGGAGTTGGCACATCCTGAGAGGATAAACATACAACAGGAGCATCCAAATAGTCATTGAAATTTTCAGTAATAGCAGCTGTGAGGCTAGCACCAATTCCACCTGTGCGCATGCACTCTTCCACAATTAGCAAACGATGAGTCTTCTTCACTGAATTCCCAATTGTGTGAAGGTCAAATGGTTTCAAAGATCTTATGTCAATTACTTCAGGATCATACCCTTTGTTAACCAATGACTTGGCAGCTTGCATTACATGATACCTCATCCTGGAATAGGTTAATATTGTGACATGCTCCCCAGGCCTAACCATCTCAGCTTCTTCGAGTGATAATACATACTCTTCATCTGGGATTTTCTCCTTGAGGTTATAGAGCAACACATGCTCAAAAAGTATCACAGGATTCTCACTTCGGATTGCAGCTTTCATCAACCCCTTGGCATTGTAAGGGGTTGAGCAAGCCACCATCTGGATTCCGGGGATTGATTGAAAATATGACTCCAGTCGCTGTGAATGCTCAGCCCCGAGCTGCCGCCCAACTCCACCGGGTCCACGAATAACAACTGGTATTTTAAACTGACCTCCAGATGTGTAATGGAGCATGCCACAATTGTTGGAGATCTGGTTAAATGCCAGAAGTAAAAATCCCATGTTCATGCCCTCAATGATTGGCCTCAGACCAGTCATGGCAGCTCCAATGCCCATGCCTGTGAAGGAGTTCTCTGCAATTGGAGTGTCCAAAACCCTTAGGTCCCCAAACTTGGGAGCCAGGCCTTTAGTCACCTTGTAAGATCCTCCATAGTGACCTACATCTTCACCCATGACACATACACGGGGATCCCTGTCCATTTCTTCTTCCAAACCTTCACGTAGGGCTTCAAAAAGGAGAAGTTCATGCCTGAGAATCAAATGCATATTGGTCAATTCCATCATTAATTGGTATCATTGTAATTCTACAACCAATACAGCCCATAAAAAAACAAACAACAAATGCCAAAACATGCTTTTAGAAAATTCAACCAATCATGTCCCTTTTCAACCTTTATCCTAGTTCCACCCTTTTATTTTCTTTTTGTTACCGTATTTCATCAGACCCAAAGGAAAAAGAAAGCACAAAAAAAGGTTGATTTTTAGCAACAAAATCAACCATCCAAAACAGCTACTTATTGTGTCTTCCAACCACCCTTTTAAGTGCTCCAAGATCAAATACAAAACCAAACCACTCCCTATTAAACCCCGATTAGCGAGGGTGGGGTCAAGATCAACTACAAAAACAGAGAAAATTATAGTATGAATGCAAACTAGCATTCTCTAAGTAAAAGGTGTATCTAGAGCCCATTTCAGGAGTAAAGAAAAAAATATTTTTTGTTTAAAAAAATATGATACAATAGGAGAAGTAGAGAATATCTATAACATATGACATGGAATATGATGCTCTGCATTTTTACTGTGGCTAAATAAATAGAAATTCATTTTGAAAGTGCAAACTAAGTCAAAACTTCTTTAAGGAATTTATGTGGATCTTATTCAAAATTAATTAGAATATCTCATATATAGCCTAGGAAAGGGACTTTACGGCTCAAAAGGCACTAGTTCAAAGGCCTCTTTGAGGCTTTAATCCCCTTCTTCTGAAAGGGGAAAAAGCTAAGAAAATCCCTGAAGACCACTCGGTAAAGAAGTGAGCTTTGGTACTAACATGGGTAATTTGGTCTGTTAGTTTATAAAAGGAGAGTTTCCACTCTTAGTTGCTCTCTGTTTTGAGTTTAATAAAAATGAAGAACATTACTGAGTTAATGAACTTTTATTATGTTTTTGAAGCTGTTTGGAAATGAAAACAAGCAGCGAGAACTGCCTCTCATCTCAAGGTACTGGGGAGGTATAGCATCTTTAGGTGCTTTGTAGCTTTGACTATTGTCAAGTACTAATTCTCCTAGAAGCTGAAGTTATTAGGTGGAGGCAAAGCATGCAACAGTGTTAATATCCAAAACCATACAAGAAAACTTGCCCATGTAATTGTGGGAAGAAAAATGGAACAGAGACATTGATTTCAATCAATTCAAATTAAATAAAGAGTTTAATTTTACCAGTAAAAAGTGTAAACATATCAACTTAGCATCGCCTCACATTATATATGGTGTTGTAAACGATGATTAATTTGAAATAAAAGAAAATAACAGTGTATAAGACAAAGTCAACAGCAACTGATTGCAGAAAGCAACATACCCAGCTTTTGATGATGTAGAACTGTCTGCCTTTGTCTACAAACAACACACACAATAATTAAAGTTCAGAAACATGACAACACCATACAAATTATATCTCTTCAATCCTAAATCAAACAACAAAAGGGGATACGGAATGCATGGGAGGGAGATGACTTACTGCAACAGCATTAGTAATCAACCTCTGAGGCTTACTAGCTCCTGAGTTGAGGAGGTTGTTCAACCTAGCATCAGATCTAACAATAAATATGCTACCTTTCCTCTCTGAATCATCAAAGAGTGTACACAACATGAAAGAAACAACATTTCAGTTAATACTAACAATTGAAAAGTCCAGCACTTAATCAAAGAAAGAAAAAAAAAAAACATATATTAACAAATTGAAATCCAAATCTTAAATATAACGTTTTTAAGAATATGCAAAGCTGTGAGAGAGAGTGCCGGCAACCCCACAACAATAATAATGAAAGAGAACAGGAATTGAAATCAGAATCCATGAATGCAGAATACGGAAGAAGACACAACATAGCAAAACTTAAATGGGGCACTACAAAACAACAATGACCCTTCAAATTGAATGATTCAAAGAATGCATCTTTGTTGAAAAAAGAAGTAAACCTGAGAGGGATCTAGGAGATGGGAAGTGGAATTTGTTGGAGGCAGAGAATGCTGTGGAAGCTCCCACTCCCTGGAAAAGGGTCACCATTGAATCACAAAGAAAGAACACAGAAACAAAGGGCAACAATAAATTATATTTAAGGAGGAAGATGGCCAAACACAACACAGAATGGGCGGAGAAACTAAGAAAAGTTTACAACTTTGTGTTGTCTCTCTATGCTTTTACGTTCTATTGTACCGTTCAGCGATGCAACTTATTTAGCATAACAAAGGCCCTTTTTTTATTTATTTTTTTCCCTTCGAAATAGAAAAAAATGAGATGATCTGGAATATAACGAAATAAAATACTATATTATTACTTAGTTATTTTACCAAAAAATGAAGGAAATTTTTTAATATTTTTATGAGCTTTATGTTTATCATGTGACATGATCTAATTCCATTTTCCTACACACATCAAAGAGGTGGGGTCCACATTTTTTTCCTTCTCTTTCATCATTTCACTTTTATTTTATTTTATTGTATGAGTAGGAAAATCAAGTTGGATCATGTAACGTAATAATCATAAAACCCTATTTTTATCTTACCAACGTAGGGATTAACGGTGACGATGCTTTGTTGGTGGGTGGCCTAATTGTGTTTACGACAAACGTCCCAACTAATTGTGTAGTTACCTCTTCCTCACATGATTCACATATTCAACATTTCTTCTTGTATGACACATATTCCTAATTAATTAACCGGAAAAACTGTTACCAAATCGCTGAGGTTGTGTTTTAGAGAGTATTAATAAACTTAACTTCAAAAATTTTAATTTTATAAAATTCATTTTAATCAAAAATAAAATAATTTATGTTTAGAAATTCTTATTTAAAAATTAAATTTATAAAAAAATAATGTAAATTTTTAATCAAAAATAAAAATTATATTTTTCACTTATAATCAACGTGCTTTTAAGATTAAAAATAATTCCAATCTAAGATAGCTAAATGTGGTATTCTTTTTAAACAAAAACTCACTTTTGAGATTGTTCACCGCAAAATAGGCTAAAATGCTTTCCTTATTAAAATATTTTGATATTTATGTAAAAAAAGTAGAATCTTACATTACATGCATCTATGTTCAGCATAATTTATTAGAATACAAAATGGAACTTTTGCAATAAAGATATAGTTTTTTTATCATTTTATTTATTTTTAAATATTAAATAATATTATTTATTTTATTATAAAATATCTAAACAATAATATAACTGTTTTCTTTTATTTTAAATATCCGAACATATAATTTGATAATGTGGACGGTGACGTGGCCAAATCACAGTGCTCTATAGTCTTATTAAGAGAGGACTTATTAGTTGGCCAAAGACTTCAGAAACACAAAGGAAAACTATAATAACAAATAATAATAATAATAATAATAATGGAATTACTTTATCTTCTATGCTCTATAGTCTTCACCTCCCTCACCTCTCTTATCCTCTCCCTTCTCCTTCCCTTTCACGCGCTACTGCGGCGGTGGGGACCCTCACGCGGAGCTTCTACCTACTGCAATGACGTAGCTGGACCCATTTCTCTCTACGAAGGTACTGTGTGGCACCAACGCCGGCACCCTGTCCATCATTCCTTCCAGTACCGGGTCCGCTACGCGCTTTTTGATCTCGATCGTGCGCCTCACGCGCCGCCTGACCATCTTTCTGCCGATGAAGCTCGCCAGCTTACCGATACCAATGGACCCATGTAATTCATCTTTTTTATTTTTTATTTTTTTTCCCACTGGGTTCTCTCACAGCCATGCAAAATTTCACCTTGATGTTTCATTTTTTTTTTTTTTTCTGTTTCTGTTAGTTTGTAGTTATAAGTAAAGTTAAAATTTTCTCTGTTGTGAAGTTTTATTTGCAATTACTTCATGTGGAACCCAATTCTGCAGTTTGCTCTTGACTATCCCTCCTAGTGTGGGATATGAACAGAATCCTTTGAATGTGTATTATTGCTATGCTGTTGAAGGCTCTACTAGACATTTGAAGAAGTGCATTGCTGAGGTGTGTGGCTAAGATGCTCTACTTTCTTAGTTTCTTAGTCTTATCTAAGTCATCCTTCGTTCCTTACCCAATTCATTAGTTGATAATCTTTTTCTTTTTTTTTTCACTAACAACACCTTTTTACTTGCTCAACACCTCTTTTTCATTTTTCATTTTTGGCATTATGTAGTTGACTGCATTTTAGCAAGTTATTAAGAATGTGTATGGTTTTTTCCAATTCTATGGATGATATCACTAATTAGAATATTAAGAATCTACTGTAAAGGTTGTGCAAGGTTGAGAGCTCTTAACCGATTTGATAGGATCTTTTGTACCGTTTTTGCTCTGTGATGACAGTACTGCTGATTTTTATTGTTTTGTATTTCAGGTAACAAATACCCCATGGGGTGAAAGAGTATCTTTTATTTTCAATCCGCACTCTGATCTAGTGGCCAAATCTTTACATGTCAGTCCTTTTATGGTATGTAAAAGATGCCTCTTGCTTTCCAGTATTTAGGATATTTTGGTTCAATTTTTTTTTATTTTTTTGTTGTGGGGGGGATTAAAACAGCGGTTACTTCCTCCGTTCCACCCTTATAATTTTCTTTTCTTCTTTTGGTTATTGTGTATTGCATTGCTTCACACTGTTCTGCAATTTTTGTTTGGTTTTCCTCTTCCTAAACTGTGTTTCGTCCTGTGATATTGATTTTGTTTGCACTGATAAATAACATCTCTTTCTTTGTGTTTATTGAAGCATGATAGTGGGAAAACTGTATTTTTGGAGACACAAAGTGAACTGTTATGTTTTGTCATAGCACTGCAAGTAATTAACTAATGTTTGGTCAGTTGACGAGCTTGTTTGTTTTTTGACTCCTTGTGTTCTCCTATTCATGTCCCCAAAGTAGCTTGAAATGATGTTTCCTATTGACGTTTTAGCAGTGGCAAAAAGGATTAAGTTATATGGCAGTGTGAATTATGCTATCATTTGGTGCTTTGGTTGCAGTGTAATTGTCGTATATTTAACGGGAAACCTATCTTGTTAGAATTTCTATGGATTTGTTTTGAGAAGTGTTAAGAATAAAGTTATGGTTCTTATAAATATAATTTTGTAAATGACATTGTGTGATCTACAATCATCATAATTCACTATATGATATATTTTGATTTAGAATGCAAGTAAAATATTCTGTCATTCTCAGAATATAGTGAGTATATATAGCATTATTCACTATGTTTGTGGAATGAAACTGGAATAAGTGATGGTAATGAAGACTTCGGATTTGTAAATGAACTTTTCCTACATATACCACAATCTCTTCGTACTTATCATGGTTTTCCTTGGATGCTTAGTCTACATGGTTAAATTTATATGATAATCACAATAAGTTAAAATAATTTTTCTGTATTTTATTAGTAAGCATCTGCCTGAACTATTGTAGGATATGCTTGGGAGTTGGAATATCAAAGCAAGTGATCCTGGAGAGAATCTTACCATATCAATTTCAGTTCATCATCCTGAGCATGGAAACTATTTTACTGCCAGTCTGAAAGCTAAAAGGTTGTGCTCATCATCAGAGTCAGATCATGCAGTTTTCTTTTGGTTGATGCCTCATAAGGTTGCAGTATGGATATATTGGAATGTAAGCTTCACTTTTGCTATACATTCCTCTTACTGTGTTTTTAAATAGTAAGTATTTAATGAAAATTCTGTCAGACTATGGTAAGTTTTCTTTGACAAGCAATTTAAGAGGTCTGAACTTAAAATAACTACAATTTGAATTGTGATAGGAACTGAAATTTACTGTAGAAGAATATGTGTGGACGAACTAGTTCCTTACAATCAGATGTAGCCCTTTGTAATTAAAACAATAAAGAGATGACTGTTGCTTTAGCTCTCAACTCCTTTCCTATTCCACCCTGTCCTTCCCCTCACCCCACATTCCTTTCTCCACTCAACCTGTGAGAGCTGTCCATGTTGTTACAACCATTTGACTCCCTTCTAGCAAACTCATCCTTTGGCATTTCTTCTGCGGTAAGCACATTCCTATTTTCTCTAATTCCTCTCTTGCATCTCCTTTCATACACTCGCAGCCCATCACTTTTATTCAACCTATTACTTTTCAGCCCATCTTTTTTTTCCCCTAGTATAAACTGTGCTATAGGTCTATCAATAATCCCCCACCCCCCTTTAAAAAAAAGAAAAAAAACTTGTGTCACCTTGTCCTCCAGGTGGAAGTAGGAAACTGCTGAAAACAGCTTCATAGTCTTCCAAGAATTCTCACGAGCTGGAAGATGTTTGCAGTTCTAAACCTTCTGTCAAAAAGTCCAAGGAGCTGATGACATGGGATGGTGGCACCGATGACCCTCTTTAAGTTGAGACACATGGAAAATAAGATGAATACGAGATGATGATGGGAATACCAGGTTGAAACTAGTTCCACCAACTCTCATCTACAAAAGTGATAGGACCCAGGAAGTTGTGAAGTAATAATTTGTTAGGTGCTTATAGTGAGAAAGAAGGGGCTTAGCTTAAATAGTAGGAGGGGTAGAAGGGAGAGCATCAGATTTTTTAGTACGGAAAAACAAAGCAGTGGATCAGTTATAATGGAAAACCTTTAGAGGAGATTTCTTTCATTTGTTCTTTGTTTGGGATCTGGTAAATCAATACAGAAGTACTCTTTCTCTTGCTCTTTTCTATGTGTCTCAGCTCTTTCTCTTGGAAAATTTCTATTTTGAGGTTCCTATCAACACGGGCCATAAAAATGGGGACTGAGTTTTTCATTAACCTTCCATGCCATTGGTCTCATCAGGTATGGATGCAACTTCAAAAACACCAAATCACCAGGCTGAAATTTGTCCTCCCTCCTGTGTTAATTAGCCTGATTTATCATTCTCTGCTGTGCCCTACGTAAGTTCGACTTCAAATCATTCAAAATAATATCCCTTGCTCATAATAAGTGGTCTACATACTGCCTTAATGGCAGTTTCACCCTTGTTAAATCTGATTATCCGAGGAGGATCTCTCGCATAAAGAGCCTTGAAGGGGAACATTTAATTAGAAGCATTATAAGTTATATTATACCAATGTTCAGCCCAAAGAATCCACTCCTTTCTAAACGAACTTGTCAAATTGACACTGTAAAAGTATTTTCTTTTTCATTGTTCCTCTTTGATGCATGAAGCTGGATATGAACTTGTCAAAGATCTATTCTTGTAAAAGCTTACACCAATAAATGATGGCTCAAAATTGGTTGTATGTCTCGAACTCACCTCATGCAAGAGTCCTTTGGATTTGAAATGAATAATGCATAGGCTCACTCTAACTTGTGATGAAATTCAACTTTTTTTATATAGAAAAGATTGAACTCTTGACCATGTTGTTATAGAGACTATGATACCATGTCAAGGACTAACTTCCCCAAAAGCTTAAGCTTTTAAGTAAAGGCTTATGAATGATTTTTATATCTAACAGTCTTGTATCTTTATGACTCTGAGTTAAAATCTTGTACTTTTGACTTTTGATAGATAAAAACATGTACATTCATAGAAAAGCTATTAAATGGATCTTTAAAAAAATTATAATTGTATACTCCTTTGGGTTTGAATAATGCTTGCTTTGACATATAGTAAAGTATCATTCTCCTGTGAATAGTTTTTGTCAACTTGTATTTGGCTGAGTGCACAGTTCTTGGAAACTAAACTTATAACTCAATAAGGAATAACTTGATGCTGTTAGCAGGAAAATGGATGACTTTCGATCTTCCCTAACCAGTTACGTGCATTAAATTAATATCTTCACTGATATATACATGACGGAGTAAGGAAAATACTATAGCACTCGATGTGCTATCCTGCCAAACTAATGAAACTATCCTGACATGCTGTGGTGGTAATTTACCAATTAGTCACTTAGCTTCCATATATTGGAACATCATCAATCTGTTGAGGAATTGTTTTATGTTTTCAATTGATTTTTTGCTTGTTACTGAGAGCAGTATGTTCATCCTCCTCAATCTTGTTTTCTCCAGGCTGTAAAACTCTGGTGGAAAAATGTGCGTTTTGTCCAACACCCCAGATATAGCATTCCCACGTACAGGGAGGAAGCTTTGGTAAGGGACCAAAAACTGCAATGTTGTGGATTGAGTGATGATAATGTACATCTGCAACAAAAAGGAAGCGATCAGGGTTGTTTAGCCGAAATAAGTTCTAGTAACCGGTGGTTTAGATGGAGAGATGCTAAGTGGCCATGGTCGTAGAAAATTGTATGGATTTGCTTTGTTTTGCTTTTGGTGATTTAGTAAGATTTTGTTTTCATATGCTTATAGGACGAACTTGGATTAGTGATAAAGCTATTTTTATGTGATTGTTGGAGAACATTCCTTTTACAAATATGTTAAGGAGGCTGCATAAAGATTCCCTAAACCTAACTCTTAATAAGGAGCGGTTTATATTTTTGTAACAAACATCCCCAAACGGCTAAGGATGGGTTGACTTATTATTTATACTGTACTAGTTATGGTCTGTCTCTTAACCATGATGTATTTCTCGTAACTTGCTCATTGGAGTCTCTTTACAATAGTTATTCCATTACTGTGGCGACCAATCATGGAGTTCCCTGGTGGGTCCAGGTCAACAAATTTAATATGTGCATCAAGGCTTGTCAATTTTCCAATGTTTCATCATCTATGATTTAACTATTAATCAAAGGTTTTCAAGTCAGATGAATAATAAAAAATGAGAAGAATAATTGACTGTAAACTATTCAACAACTACAACTAATACGCCAGTCTCTCGAAGGAGTACAAAAGTATTCGACCTTCTAGGTGTTTGGTGTGGAAAAATTCAAATGGGAATTGCTTTTTTGGTATCTAGTGTCACTAAGGTATTTCTTTTTTATCAGAAATTGGACAAAAAAGAGTTCATGGCAATTATATAGTCATGAAATAATACTGAATGAATAGTTACATTGAATGAATTTACGTTGCATCGACACCATTACCGACACGGGATACGACACAATATGCCGACACATTAATTCTAAAAAATATTTGATTTCGACACGTTAGGATATGTTTTGATATTAAATATTATTTTTAATATATAAAATATAGTTTACGTTTAATAAATATAGCAGTTCATAATAAGTTATACAATCAATCAAATATTCAAATTTCATAACATAAATATAAAGAAAAAATAATTTTTCATGTCTTGTTAATTTTTCTGGTCAAATTTCATAATACAAAATATTTAATTTATAAATTAATTTTTTATTTTTAGTTAAAAAGATAAAATAAAATAAAATTTGGATATATATAAAAAAAATGTATCAAAAAACATTGACCGCGTGTCAGAAACGTGTCGAAAAATATTAATCGCATGTCGAAGTATTGATCGCGTATCGAAAAATATTGACCGCATGTCAAAATATGTCGGTGTCCGACACATTTTTTATTAAAAGTGCATATCCGTCCTTCATAGGAATGTACTATAAAGTGGTTCACCCAAATCACTTACAAAGTATGAATATTATTATTGTTGTTGCTGTTGGGATAGCAACTATTTTATTTATGTACTTTGGTATTCAATGTACATAGTCAAAATAACTTATTAAATAAATTGAAAATGAGCTAATTTAGATGGGTGGATTCTACTGTGACTCTTGATGGGCTTGGAGCCATCGATGATCCTTATAATAAGATAATTTGATATTTTAATAGTTTCTTCCGATTTATATTTGAATCCCAAATTTTTTGAATAATTTATTTTAGACCCCTTAGTAAATAATTTCAAGAGACACACTTTACAATTTTCATACATACAATAATATATAAAGAAACAAGAAAACAAAATAAAAGAAAAAAGTTCTTCCTCTCTCTCTCACGGGAGAACCGAATACTAGATTGGCATTATTATTTACATTTGCAGAAAAAGAAAGGAGGGATATACTTATATCCCAGCAATCTAAGTATTGTTCACTCAATGATAAATTTTTTCTTAACTAATAATTATTTAAATACAGTAACAATTAAATCAGTTAATTACATAAATTGATTATCACATGTTACCTACTATATATATAGACGCATCCTAGATTTTCCATGCAACAGCATAGAGGAAAAAAAGAAGGAAAGAAACGAAAAGAAAAACTCTGACCGAATTCTGCAAGTTCCTACAACAAAGTCGTGTGCAATCAAATGGCCTAACTAGTAGAATTGATTTACCAAAAGGTGGTAATTTAGTAAAGTAGTTGAGTAAATAGAAAGTAAATTGTCTCGATTCGATTTTAACATATCACATTTGGAAGAGATTTATATATCTTCATCCCTAACTCGCTCCATACTCTAGAAGTCCCATAATTAGCTCAAAATCGAAACTTGTGTGAATACTGAGGGGAGTCAACTTACTTCAAAGAGATAATTAAAATTGGGTTAACTCCTAAAAAAAGAAAAACAAAAAACCAAGTTAGGTTGATCCAACCATGAAGGATCCGGGAAGCTTTTAGTTATTTTACTCTGTCTCTCCTTTCTTGATTTAGATAACATAGTAGACAAAATCTCATGGGTTGATGGAAACATGACCAAACAGTCAAGTTCACATGCAAAAAAGGAAGAGAACATGAAGGTAGAAGAAGATGACCCACACATATTTTCATTTTCAAGTGAATCATGAGTTTGGGAATTGATAATCTCATGTTATACGAGAATGTGATACAATATCAGCCATCTAGATATAGGCAAAAAAAAAATTAAAATATTACTATTTTAATAAATAATTACGAATACATAGTTGTTTCGAAACTATCTACGAATTTATTGCACTCATTTACGCCTAAATTATGCGTGACTATTCACGCCCAAATTAGGCGTGACTCGTCTGGTGTTAACACGTGGCACAAAAAATTAATAGTTTAATCGTAAAACTTTATAAGGCCATAACTTTTGACTCAAGTATCTGAATGAGGTAATTCTTTTTTTGATTCCACATAATTTTTTGAGATCTACGCAATGACATCTCATTTGATATATTTTATCTCTCACAAACACAATTCAAATTTGCAATAATGATACTATAAAAATGGCACCAAAGTGGATTAACTTTTCTATAAATAAGATGACACCAAATTTCCTATTAAATACAAAAATCAGCTCCTATTAAATACAAAACACAATCAACTCATATAACATTAAATTCAAAATTCAAATAACCTTTAGCAAATTTATTTGAATTGACGACAATCTGTAACCAACTTATAAAATTACAACGCAATTAGCTCCTATTAAATACAAAATGCAATCAACTTATTGGAGGTTATTTGAATTTTGAATTTTATGTTATAGTACCATTATTGGGCGTGAATGAGTGCAATATATTCGTAATTAGGTTCAAAACGGCAATACAATTATTGCAATTATTTGAATTATGTTTGTGAGAGATAAAATATATAAAATGAGATGTCATTGCGTAGATCTCAAAATTTTATGTAGAATCAAAAAAAGAATTACCTCGTTCGGATATCCGAGTCAAAAGTTATGGCTTTTCAAAGTTTTACGGTTCGTAAGTTGACTTTTTTTTGCCACGTGTCAACACCAGATGATTTACGCCTAAATTAGGCGTGAATGCCTTGGGAGTCACGCCTAATTTGGGCGTGAATAGTCACGCCTAATTTGAACGTGAATGAGTGCAATAGATTCGTAGATAGTTTTGAAACAATTATATATTCATAATTATTTATTAAAATAGTAATATTTTAATTTTTTTGCCTCTAGATATAAATTAACAATAATGATTAAAGAATAAAATATATAAAAAAACCATTAATTTGTATATGAAGAGTTAAATTCTCTTTAATATCTTATGTCACATAATTGCAGGGCTGATTTCTGCTTTTCACTTTATGTTTTATGAATAAAAAATGAGAAAAATGTGTATCATTCTAAAGTGATGTCATTTTAAGTGAGAGAAAGAGATAAATAAAGTAGACAAAAAATATAAAAGTGTAAGTTTTACCTCTTTGTGAGAGTGAAATAACATAAATTATATCACTTAAAAAAAGACAAATACTTTTTCAATAAAAATAGAGCGGTAAGTAGGGGGAATTGGGCAAGGCCTATAATACAAGCATTTCAAATGGCACACGTGCTCTATTTTCGATGTCACAAGTTGGCAGAAGGCAATACCCGATGCTATCTTTTAACATACGCATGCGCCACCTGTTGCTTATTGTAAGTCGGCACGCCCACCAAGCCACATGTGCTTCGTGTTACCCTTTATCTAGCTAACCATAATCAAGAAAATTAAAAAGAGTTACTTAATTAGTAAATTAATAGTCTATCAATTCTAATGTAAATTTACTACTATAATTAGTAAATTAATAGTCTATCAATTCTAATGTAAATTTACTACTATATATGATTATTATATGTTTATTTTTGCCAATAATCAAACACAAAATATTCCTGCATCACTATAATTGAGGGAATCACCTCACAAGGTGTTTGGTAGAAGAGAAAAAAAAATTATTCAAGAATCATAATTTCTAAGAATATGATGGGAAAATAAATTTTTAAAAAATATTACCAAAAATTATTTGGTAGGTTAAAATATTTTCAGGAATATAAGATTAATTTTCTTGATATTATGTTGGGTTGTATTAAATCTTCCTTTTCCATGAGAATTTTAAAATATCACCCTCTGAATGATATTTTTGAATCAGAAAATTTTACACACAAAATAAAATTTCAAAAAAAAATCATATTTTCAGAAATTTTTTAGAAATCTCATACTAAATATGAATAAATAAGATTATCACCTTCAATTTGTTGGAAATCTGGAAAAAAAAAAAACCTTCTTTCCCAAATGCCCCCCAAAAGTACACCCCCTTCAAAATGTAGTTCTATTTTACGGTCTAAGACTTACAACCTGATAAGCATCCGCAGCCAAATCCATGAAAGAATACCCAGGTGGATCATTCTTCTCGATGAAGAACAAAATCTCTTTTTTTTTTTGGAAATAAGAACAAAATCTCTATCTCATCAGCTATAGTATTTTAAATTGCATTAAATATTGTATACGTTTTTAAGTTTAATATCAATATTATCGTTCAGTATGTACTAACAATAATATGAGTATATATTAATTATTAAAATTATATTATTTAATATAAGTAAAAATTCATTTTCGGCTATCTCTATAACTCAGAGAATCAAAATAAGAACACTCTAAAATTTATATTATAAAATTCATTCCAGTTTTTCAAATGAAAAGATAACAAAAGAAAATCTTGTGTCGCTTGACATGTTGTATGTTCCAGATTTGATATGATCCGTTAGGTACTGAATATGATCAAAACCTACTCCCTCTGATTTTTTACACCCCGTTTCATATATCAATTTATTGAATTCCAAAAAATGGAATAGAATCAAAATAAAAAGGGGTATGGAAATATATTTCAAAACGCACCTTCTTATTTTTTGTTACACTCCTAAAGAAAATTATGCTCTCTTGTGATATATATATATATATATATATGAGGCAGGATCCTTTGACACCGGTGTCAAATTTGAAATTTGACACCTCATATGAGAGCCGTTAGATCAAAAAAGATCAACAACTCTGATTTGTAAACATGTGACACCATTGATCTTTTTTGTTCCAACGGCTCTCAGATGAAATGTCAAATTTAAAATTTGACAGCGGTGTCAAAGGATCCTATATAGTGACCACTGACAACCTCATTGCCTTTTGTTCTATGATGGGATTTTAAATTATATAACGATGAACTTCATTTCATTTTGACTATAATTTTAAATAAGTATTATAGAAATTGAAACCAAATCCAATTAACTAAGTTTCAAATTGCGTACAAGTAAAAACGAAAATCACAATTGAGAACTAGTTTATTTTTGGGAAATGGACTTTTTTGGAGAAGAGATTGTTTATGGCAACTAATTATAACTATTTTTTTTTTTTATAACAATTATAACTATATTTTACTTGTAAGATGTAATTATAATTTTAAATTTTTTTTTCTCTACTCATAAGGATGCTGGTTGATATGGCAAAGAGAAAAAAAATAACTTTAATATTATAAGTAAGGGTGTGCATGGAGCGGTTCATAACCGGTTTTGACTAAAATCGAATCGAACCTGTTTTAAACGGTTTGGTTTTCAAATCGAACCGATTTTCTTTTTTAAAGTCGATTTTTATTTGTCCAAACCGGTTTTGATATAAAATCAATCAAAAATAGTTTTGAACCGATTTTAATTCAGAACCGGTTTTAAATCAAAACCGGTTATGAACTATAAACCGGTTATCAAGTTCAAAAGCGATTTTATAACAACTTCAAAACCGGTTTTTGATTAGTTGTGTTATTTTATTTTTTTTGAAAAAATAAAAAATACCTTTATTATTTATTTATTTATTTATTGCTTAAAATATCTAGATTATTTTGATTAAACATGAGAAGGCCATTTATTTATTTTTTGCTAAAAATATCTAGCCTATTTTGATTAAATATGAGTAGGCCCACTATTGAAGTCATCAATCATGGATTCATCCAAATAGAAGTGATGATCACAATCATGGAAATTCTTGTTTTAACCATAAATATGTTCACAATAAGCAAAAACATAAAGATAAAATTGCATTATCAATAATTTTAGTAGAAACCAAACCCACCATATGAAAAACCATATTTGAGTTTTCTAGACACAAAATGCAATTTTCTATTCTAACTCACATTTTCTCATAAAATATCAATGAGAAAAAAAGACGTAAACATAATAAATCCAATAAAAGAAAAAATAAAAAACCATTTAAAAAATGGATATGGTTTGGTTATTTTGGATATCCAAACTGTTGTGAAAATGGATAACCAAATCTAAACCAAAATTAAAAAACTGGATTGATTTTTTAAACTGTATTATAAAATCCAGTTTTTGAAACTGGTTTGATTCAGTTTATGGATTGGTTTGGATCATTTAATTTTTTTGAACACCTCTAATTATAAGTATATCTTACTGGTAAGACATAGTTATAATTAATTGCTGGAAAAAAGATGAAGTGTAGACCCTTTATTTTTTAGGAAATTCAAACTTACCGTGATAATTTATTCATAGAAGTCCATAACTTAAAAAGAGGTAGAATAATTTTCTAAATGATCATCATTCCAGAAGAATAATATTAAAGTTAATGTTGAATACTTGGTCCTCGTTAGTAAATACAAGAAATTATTGAATGGTTTTGATTTGATGCACGAGTATTTTAATTTTTGAAACGGTTGACACCTTGGCAGCGACACGCCGACACGAGTTCGGTCTGCGGTGGAACACACAGTAGCATGTGACCCCAAGTCTAACAAAACCGTGAAACACATGCTCAAATTCTACAACACAACACATAACAACTTCTCTCTCTCTCTCTTTCCTTTTCTCTAAACCCATCACCATTTCCCCGCCGAATTTTATTTTTGGTGTGCGTTACGTGTTTAGCAAGTTCTTTTCCAAAAGGCGCTTTTGCATATATTTATAAATATATTTAGCCATTTCGTTCTTCTTCTCTCTATAGCTTTAACATAATAATCTTCTCATCTCTCTCTCTCTAATTCTAAAACTTCAATCCATTTGGAGAAGAAAACATGAGGAGGAATTGCAACTTGGAACTTACCCTTTTTCCTCCCTACGATTCTGATGACCACCGCCACAACCATATCATGTAAGCAGCTTAATTTGTTTTCTTTTTCTTCTCTTTCATGTAAGATCTATTATTATTATTACACTATCATTTTTTGGATATTGAATATTCTTTTGTTTCTCAAATGAAGAATGGAAGAAGATAATGAGAGCCCAATGCAAAATTACCACTACCAGCAGCAGCTGCAACAGGAACAGCAACAGAAGCTGACCATTTTCTATGATGGGAAGATTTGTGTTGCGGATGTCACAGAGCTTCAGGTACATATATTTAGAATTTAGTTATCAACTTAAGTGGTTAAATATTTAATGATTAAGTTGGTGTGCTCTCAGCTTTAGTTATTCTGCTTTGGCTTTTAGATCAATTACTAAGAGAATTCATTTGAGAACATTTTTTTTCTTCCAAAAAATATAAGTATCATTATTTTAGTCTTTGAAATTCTTTTGTATTGATTCAGTCTATCAATAATGTAAAATATTAATATTTTGATCTTTTGAATATTTTTTTTATATCAATAATGTCATAAAATCAATTCTTAAATTAGAGTTTTATTGCACTTATATTTTTTTTTCAGTTTAACAGACAAGGATCATTTAATAATACTTTATATAATCAAATGATTAGACTTATGAATTTTTTGAAAAAACTAAAATAATGCATATATTTAAAAAAAAAATAAGAGTTTAATTTACTCAATTAATATTCTTAAAAGCACATTGCCGATGTGAATGGCGCGTCTATATATAAAAGATTGTTCAAGGAGTGACTTAATCTTGGTTAATATAGTAATAGCCTAATGCTACCTTTAGTATTAAAAAGAAAATTAATCATGAAGAATTAGGCATTGAGTAATATGAAACCGCGTGATACAGATTTTTCCCCGAGAGAGAAACATAAACATTTTTCAAAAGATATAGTCGTTGCCGACTTAGTTGGTGGTAAACCAATAGAAGAAAATTAAGGGACCAATGAAAGAGACAGGAACGGTTGGTAGGTGGTACATCTCAATATCTTTAAATTCCCGGACAAATTAAATTTCAGATATTATTGATGTGAAACTTGGCAAGTTAATTTCCTGGAAACTTCAAAGTTGGAATCCATAGACTTGTTCATTGACTTCAAATATTGCATGCTAACGTGTATACCAATATTCTTGGTGCATGCTTTTTGAGGTCAATTATTTACATTTGAATAGCTATAAGGAAGGAATAAAGTCTTTTAATAAGTGGGTTAACTAATTAATGTGAATCACGTGCATGCAGGCCAAATCCATCTTAATGCTTGCAAATAAAAAAGCGGAGGAAAGAGTAAGGACGCCAACCTCAACAGGGTCAGAGCCATCTTCACCAACAGTAGTGTATAGCCCTGGCCCTGGCCTTTCCATGAAAAGATCGCTGCAACGGTTCCTTCAGAAGAGAAAGATTCGGGTCCAAGAAGCATCCCCATACAATCACTAGCCAGATCAGTCAAATGTTAAAAAGGAGGAAGCAAATCAAAATTGTTTTGTTGTATTAGTATTCCTTGGACTAATTATTTCTTTCTTTTATTTTTATTTCTTATTACTTATTAGGTTTTCACACACTCATTATTATGTCCAAGATTAAATCTTATTTAGAATATTAAAGTTAATCAGCTTTACAAATATTTTGTTTGCAAGCTCTAAATCATGACATTGTAATAGGTTTTTTAACAGCCGAATTTAATTAAATTTATTTATTTTTTCCAATCAATTCATTGACTACCCAATTAATCGGATCTTCTTATTATAAGAGCAGTTTATTCATTCTCTTCACCATTCCCAAAATTTGGACTCGTATGCTATTTATCACTTAAATCAATAATTATTGGTAAATTTAAATTTATTTAATACCAGAGTCATTGTTATAGATAAAAATTATTGTTTTCTCAGCTCAATTTTACGCAAGTACCCTTCTAAATTTTTATCATTATATTAAACATTATTTAAGAAAAATTTTAATTATGGGAAATAATTAATTTATTTAATCTCCTTTAAAAATTATTGAAGAATATTTTCTTAAATAAACTATTCTAAACACATTCTGATTAGGTCAGGCGGCTTTTTGACCCTTTTGTCCCTAATTAAATAATTAATAACCAATTTGCCCCTCCCCCAGAACTATCCACCATCCTGCTCCCATTTAGTCGATTAAGTTGCACTTTTAATCGACTAAATGGGCTAAACTCAGAAATTATGAAACGCGAATTTTAGTCGACTAAATTGTTTGCACTTTTAGTCGACTAAGAGCATTATTTAGTCGACTAAATGTCGCAGATCAGGTTTTTTTAAAAAAAACCCATTTCGCAAAGGGGGTTATTTTCAAACCCTAATCGACTAAATCGCTCCATTCTGTCCCCTCTCTCCAACCAAGTCTGAATCTCAACCCTTGAAGGTGCGATTGAAGCTTCCTTGGTTCACACTTGCGAAATCGACATTTAGGTAACGTATTCTGACTTGCATTTGGTTTTAAGTTTAGTTTTTTTTTTTTGTTTTCTCCATGCATTTGATTTCTGTTTGCGATTTTGTGGATTTAGGTTAGGGGTAGGGTGCTAAGTTTGTTGTGAGGGTGAGGGTTAGGGTTGATGTGGTGCCTGAGGCTTAGGGTTAGGGTTATGTTAGGGGTAGGGTTAGTGTGTATGTTGCTATTTTGTTTGGGTTGTAGTGTTTAGGGTTTAGGAATGGGTTTTTGTGTTCTGTTTTAGGGTTAGGGTTAGGGTTTAAGGTTAGGGTTTCTGTTTCTCTTTTAGGGTTAGGGATAGGGTTTCTGATTTCTGTTTTATTTTAGGATTAGGTTTTGTTTTTTATATTGAATTTTAAATTTTTGGATATTGTTATTGTTCATTGAATTTTGTTTCCACTTGCATTGTAGGTACAGTTGTTCCCATGGCTGGCCGTAGAAGATCGTCTAGCACTGGAAATGAGAGACGACAGAAGCTACGACAAGACCGTCCATCTTCGTCAAGGCCACAAGAGGAAGACCCCACTGCTGTCGACCTCCCATTCGGATACTTGTTCGAGAATGACCCGGTGGTTCATGAATCTTTTGTCCGTGACTTTGTTAACCGACCGATTTGTGGGGCCAAATCACTTGATACAGCCTTTTTTGAACAAGAAGGTTTTAACATTGTGAGGTGGTTGGAGGAATCACATCTTAGGACCTTGGCTGAACTGTCGTGTTCATATTCTGAGCTGCATGTACGGGCCTTCTACCATAACCTCAGCTACCATCAGGGTGAGCTGAGGTCTAGGGTCTGCGGGGTGGACATCATCATGACGGCTCCGGTATGGTTGGAGTTACTGGGGTATGACTTTGATTCTGCGTAGACTGTGGAATATGATGCAGACAGCGGGACCATACTTCTAGGATATACACGCGGTGATGCTGTGCAGAGCAGAGGAGAGTCCGTGGGCAACACATTGCCTATACGGTGGGGTTGCTTACTGTGGAGTCCCGCATACTACACTATGTCATCACCCACATTTTGTTTCCGCGAGCGTTCAATCATTCCAGGGTGTTGGAGCATGACATTCCCATCATGTGGGCTATCCGACATGGTACTTCGGTGAACTGGAGGCACTACATCTGTTGGATGATGTATAAGGCCAAACACAAGGGTGCACTTCCATTTGCTTGTCTTGTTCAGAGGATAGTGGAGCATTTTGATGTTCCCATAGGTAATGTGACCTTGAAGAAGACCACAAGGTATAATCATAAGTTTGGAAAACGTCTACTGGAGCAGTGCAAGATGACAAAGAACCCCCAAACAGGAGTGTGGCAGTTCACAGGTGCGGCTGATGTTGAGGTTCCTGATGTTGCTCCAGTTGTAGACATGGTTGACCCCGAGGTGGAGGATGATGATGACGATGATAATGAGGGTGACCAGCAGGAGATAGCTGAGCCTGAGGGTGGGTTTTCATTACGTGATGTCATGAAGGGCATAAACGCCACGCTGAAGAAAATAGGAAAAATGGCGCTGAAACACAAAAAATGGAGGAAGAGTCACGTGCAGAAGGGAAATGAAAGATTTAGACATATACAGGGACGATTCAAGGGTGTTGAAGATAGGCTTGCTCGTCTAGAGCTTGGACGAGGACAGCAGATTGAGAATGTTGTAGGGCAGGGGGCTGATGTGTCAGATGAGGATGACGAGGAGACGGCGTCCGAGGAGGATGAAGATTAGATTTAGGGTTTATGTTTCTATTTTACGTTTGTAGTGTAAGTTGTTATGTAATTGACTTCGGTCTTCCTATTTGACATTTGTAGTTTATGTAATATTATGGTTATGAAATGAACTATTTGATGTTCCCATCATGTTGTGAACCATTTACGTAATTATTGATGTTTTCTTGTTTACCAAATGAAGGAACGAATATCTTTTACCTTCTTGTTTTCAATTTGTGTCTAATCACAGTCCAACGGGTCTAAAATGTCCAATGAAATTCAGAACAGGTGACCTTAACAGAGTTAAAAGAAGAACACAACTTTCGGATACCCTAACTTGGAGCATTTATGCAGTACATGTACATTCGTGGTTTATCTCATGTACAATACTATTTTGTACCTGAAAGTGTGTTCCCCAAGTCATTATATGCGTGTACATTGATATTCGATCGGTTCCGTGCCAAAAAAATGCGTGCAAAATAGAATGGGGTGTCAAAACCAGTTATTTAGTCGAGCAACCTGTACTGGGATCAACAACTCATTACCCATTGGAAACCAATGTGCAGCATAGACCTTCTCAATTTGTGTAATTGAGAACACAGGATCGACATAGTCATAATGGTTCAATTTTTCAACCTTGCACACCGCTAGCACATGACTGCAAGGAAATCGTCTAGCTGTGAACCGTCCACATTGACATTTAGGATTTAGCAAGTCAACCCTCATAATGTCGCCGGCATCATCCGTAGATTGATTGTAGGCATCCTCAACTTCAAACAACTGCAAGTCTCTATCAAAAACACGGACACAGAGACTGACAGTTAACTGATCATTCTTTTGTAAGAAGTCCTCAACCTTTTTTGCAATTCTCCAGCCTTTGTCCTTTACTTTTTGGATCTTTTCACGCCTCTTCACAAAATACTCAACAAGTCTACTTTGCGTCATCTTGACCAATGCCGTTACTGGCAAATTACGTGCACCCCGTAGGACCTTATTGATACACTCAGATAGGTTAGTCGTCATATGACCAAACCTTCGGCCCTCCTCATCATAAGACCTGCACCATTTCTCTTTGGGAATCTGATCTATCCATGAGGCTACTTGTGGGTTACTGTCGACAAATTCTTGAAATCTTAAATCAAAGTGAATCTTCGAACACATGTAACCTGCAAAAAATGAACCCAAATTGCAATGAGTTATACATAAACAACATTACATACAACATGTACACATTCATGTAAATAGGTTACCTAGTTTCATCAGCGTTTTCTTCAATTCCACGTCCCTAAACTTAGTGTTGAAGTTGCTTCCAATGTGACGAAGACAAAACACGTGATACGCAAATGGAGGCTGCCAACCGGCATGATCCTTCACAACCCTGATGATGCTGGGGTGACGATCGGATATTAGATAGATACCATGCCTACGTGTGACATGGAAACACATATGGCTAAGAAACCACAACCAATCATCCAATCTCTCACCCGGTGGAACAATGGCAAACGCAATAGGCAGAATGAATCCATCACCATCCTGTGATGAAGCAATCAAGAGGGTACCTTTGTATTTCCCGTACAGGTGCGTGCCATCAATTTGGATTATGGGTTTACAATATTTGAAAGCCTCAATGCACTTGTGAAAAGTCCAAAATACCCTGCGAAAGACAGCCTTATCGGTGTAGACTCGTCGTTCGTCACAACATTGATCTGTATCAATCTTGAACACAGAACCAGGATTTATCTGTGTCATGTAGTTCAGCCAACCAGGTAAGATGGCATATGATTTTTTCCAGTCGCCAAACAACTTCACAATGGCCTTCATTTTAGCCTTCCAAGCCTTCCTATAAGATATGTTGTATCCATACAAACTTTGTACCCTCTCCTGAATAAGAACTGGTTTCGTGGATGGATCTTCTTTTAACATACCTATACAAAATTCGAAGTCAACATAATCAATAAATATACCGAAAAATTAAACCATAAACAAAAATGAATGTAATACATACTTATAATGGCTGCACAGATTACATCAGAATCCAGCTGTCTATGGTCCCGAGTAAGGCCTTGGTTTAGGCAAGTGTATTTTTTACCCCACTTACTAACAACCCAATTATTTTCATTCTTGGGCAACATAGCCCGCACGTACAAGGGACAACCATCATTATGGTGTCGACACTTCATCACAAATCTATGGTCATCACTTTTTGCCACCACAGCAGTACGATGAGACTTCATACAATATAATTTGACAGCATGTTGCATTTCAGATTTAGTTCG